CCGGCTTTTTTCTTTTTGCTTATGTGGTGCTGAGGGATCGAACCCAGGGCCTCAGGCATGCAAGGCAAGCAAGCGCTCTACCACTGAGCCACCTTCCCATCCCCCAAAAATGACTTTTTTTTTTGTCTTTTCTTTTTTGGTACTGGGGATCGAACCCAGGACGTTGCACTTGCTAGGCAAGCGCTTTGCCACTGAGCTACATCCTAGCCCATCACTAGTATTCTTCAAGGGAAAAAACTTGTTATTTGGGGTGAATGGTTGGAATTAAGGAGGAGAGACAGGATTGGAATATGAGGTTGGGGAGAGAGCTTGTTTTGGAAAATATTTAAAAGAAAAACATTTTAGAAGTATAAGGTGAGTGACATTGTGTTAAACTGCAGTGTGATATAAGGGTGGAATCCATTCTGAGCTCTACATTTCTGCCTTTGAAGTTAGTTAGAAAAACCAACTCTAATATTGTTAATCTCTGTGTGTGTGTGTGTATGTGTGTGTGTATGTGTGTATGTGTATATGTGTATATGTGTATATTGACACCGTCCCTGAGCTCTTTCCTCAAGGCTAGCGCTCTACTACTTGAGCTATAGTGCCACTTCCAAGAGGGATAAACATCTCTGAGGGAAGAGAATGTCAAGAGAAAAAATATAGTTAAGAAAGGACCCAGGAAGTACTGTACACTATGGGCTCTAAGAACTTTATTGTAAGGTCCTATCTCTAAAAAAGAGAAAAATGGCTTGTGTCAGGATTAAAATTCAGGCTTCGATTTTCCCACCATAAGGAAAGAGCAGTATGTTTATGATTGATCTGTTCTGTGAGATATAAGCTGTGCATTCTCCAGGGCATTTTTTGTCTGTCCCTCCTAAACTCAGCTGTTTTTAGCCACAATGCTTAGGAATAGTTCCTGTGTATTAGTCTTTTGAAGTCCTTATTACTATTTTGTTGTTGTTGGTTGTGGGTCTTGAACTCTGGGCCTGGACCCTGTCCCTGTGCTCTTCAGCTCAAGGCAAGTGCTCTACTTCTTGAGCCACAGTGCCACTTGCGGTTTTCTAGTGGTTTATTGGAGATAAGAGTCTTACGGACTTTTCTGCCCAGGCTGGCTTTGAACCTTGATCCTCAGATCTCAGCCTCCTCAGTAGCTAAGCATTATAGGCGTGAGCCACCGGCGCCCAGCACTATTACTATTTTTAATTCTGGAGATTTGACCCAGGACCTTGTGCATGCTAAGCATGCAATGAGCCATGCTCCAGCTAAACCTCTAATTTTTAATTTTTATTTATTTTTTTGAAACAGGTTTTCTATATAGCCCAGGCTGGTCTGTAACTATATAGTTCAAAGCTGGAGGTCCTCCTGTTTCTGCCTCTACTTCCTTGCCTCTATCTCCGAAGTGCTCATAGTGTGCAGCTGTCTGCAACATGACCAGCAAAACAGTGCGTGCGTGCATGCATGCATTGGTCCTGGTCCTTGAACTCGGGCCTAGGCACTGACCTTTTCTTAGCTTCTTTGCTCAAGGGTAGTGCTCTACCACTTCAGCTACAGCTGCATTTCCTACCTTTCCTTTCCTTTTTTTTTTTGTACTAGGTATAGAACCAGGACATTGCACTTGCTAGGCAAGCACTTCGTTACTAAGGTACATCCCAGCTCTACTTCCTACTTTTTGCTGGTTGATGGGAGTTAAGACTCGCTGACTTTCCTGCCTGTGATCTCAACCTTTTGAATAGCTTGGAAGGAGTGCAGGTGTAAGCCACCAGTGCCTGGCGCTGCATAATTTGCTTTAGGTTTGAGATAAGGACTAGAACTTGGTACCTGATGCTTTTGTTCATTGTCTAGCACTCTACCAACCAAGCTACTCCTCCAACCCCCATAATTATTTGTTTGTTTGTTTGTCCTTTGTGTGGCTTGAACTCTGGGCCTGGGTGCTGTCCCTCGGCTTTTCAGCTCAAGGCTAGCACTCTGCCACTTGAGCCAAGAGCCACATCTGGCTTTTTCTGTTTATGTGGTGCTGAGGAATTGAACCCAGGGCCTCATGCATGCAAGGCAAGTACTCTACCACTGAACCAACTTCCCAGCCCCCCGCCCCCAATTTTTTAAATTAAGTAATTAAACTTAAGATTTCATGTTTGCCAGGTAGGTGCTTGTTCTACTCTGTGAGCCATGCTTCCTTTTTAAAAAAAATTTTTTTTTTTTGGGGGGGGTCTGGTTGTGGGGCCTGAACTCTGGGCCTGGGCGCTATCCCGCAGCTCTTCAGCTCAAGGCTAGCACTCTACCACTTTGAGCCACAGTGCCACTTCCAGCTTTTTTCTTTTTGCTTATGTGGTACTGAGGAATTGAACCCAGGGCCTCATGCATGTAAGGCAAACCACTGAGCCACCTTCCCAGCCCTTAAATTTTTTTTCATATAAATGGAAAGGTAGTTCAAAAAGAAAGGATAGGGGTGTGTGTGTGTGTGTGTGTGTGTGTGTGTGTGTGTGTTTGTGTGTGTGTGTGTGCGCGCGCGTGCGTGCGTGCGCGTGTGTGTGTGCGTGCATGTGCATGTGCGCACGTGCATACATGTATATGTGTGGTACTGGGGTTTGTACTCAGCCTCATGCTTTTGTTCTTCCCAAGTGTTACTACAGACAATTTATTTTAGCTTCTTTTATTTCTTTTAGTATCTTTTTTGCTCAGGCTAGCCCCAGACTGTAATCTTCTGCCTAGGGCTCCCACATAGCTGGGATTACTGTCATTTGCCTCCACTTCTGGCTTAAAACCTTGGGATTAGAGGCATAAAACATGACATCTGACTAAGGGCACTATTTTTCTTTTCTATATTTTTTTCTTTCTTCTTTGATGCAGGGGCTCAAACTCTAGGCCTTAAGCTGCATTCCAGCATTTTTGCTGGTTAATTTGAGATTGAGTCTCCCTGACTTTTTGTCCCAGCTTTCTTGGAACTGAGATTATCTTCCAGGCTCAGTCTCAGTCCTGAGTAGCTAAGATTATAGGCAGGAGTCTTTTCAACAAATAGTACTGAAACTGTATAGCCATGGGTTATTTATTTATTTATTTTTTGCCAGTCCTGGGGCTTGAACTCAGGGTCTGGGCACTACTTCTGTCTTTTTCTGTTTATGTGGTACTGAGAAATTGAGTCCAGGGCTTTATGCATGCTAGGAAAGTACTATACCACTAAGCCACATTCCTAGTCCCACATTTTATTTTAGAAGGACTTGTTCTGGATGCCAGTGGATCACACCTGTAATCCCAGCTACTCAGGAGGCTGAGATCTGAGGACTGCAGTTCAAAGCCAGCCCAGGCAGGAAAGTCTGTGAGAGTCTAATCTCCAGTAAACCTCCAGAAAACCAGAAGTGGCACTGTGGCTCAAGAGGTAGAACGCTCACCTTGAGGTGAAGAGCTGAGGGACAGCGCCCAGGCTCTGAGTTCAAGCCCTATGACCAACCAAAAGAAAAAAGATCTATGATCTGTACTGCTTACTGTATAGAATATTTAACTCAAAATGGATGACAAGCTGGGTTCCTGTGGAACATGCGTGCACATACACATGATCACAGACTTAAATGCAACACCGAAAAATCTATGAAACTTCTAGAAGAATGTAGGAGGAAAACAGCCTTGTATTAGAGAGATTTATTAGATATGAAGTGAAAAACAGTACAAATAGAAGCGGATTAATGAATTTGAATTTACCAGAATTAGCAATCTCTGTGGAAAAAAAGAAAATAGGAAAATTGGGAATGTAGGGTTAAACACAAAACTTAGGCACCATTAGTGAAGATGAAAAGAAATGGATGACCCATCTTTTTCATATCTCCGTTAACCTTGCTATGATCTCAAGATTGTGATCTTCTATAGATTTTCTTTTCTTTTTCTTTTTTGGTAGATTGTGGGTTCTGAACTCTGGGCCTGGGCCTGTTCCTCAGCTCTTCAGCTCAAGGCTAGCGCTCTACCACTTGAGCCACAGCACCACTTCTGGCTTTTTCTGCTTATGTGATACTGAGAAATTGAACCCAGGGCCTCATGCATGCAAGGCAAGCACTCTACCACTGAGCTACCTTCCCAGCCCCTATCAATTTTATTCTTTGAAATTCAACAATTACCTTTCTAGCATTCAAGAATCTGACATCTTTTAAAACCTCTTTTTCTTTTGTAAGTTGTATGTATTGTTTTCAACTTCTCAGGGTTATTTTCCAAGGATCCATTGTTAGGGGCACTAAGTGCTCAGGTCTCTTGCTGGTTTAGGGACCCTAGACCCTTGTCTTTCTTGGCAGATCCTGATGTCCTCTAGGTGTTCCAGGACAACCTCTCACAGTCTCATGGGATATTCTTAGCTTTGCTGAATGTTGTTGGTATTTTAATTGAACTCTGGCAGGCTGCTCAGCACAACAGTACACAGGAGTCCCTGTGGGAGTCAGAATAGACCACCAGTTTTCATGATGTTCTGTTGCATGTGGTACTTCCCCCTTGTACTTAATTCCCATTCCATATTATTTCTGAATTTTGTCCCAGCTCTTTCCAGTATCGTTTGTCTTTCTTTCTCTTTTTTTAAGGTCTGAAACCAGGTCTCAAAAAACTCAGTACCTGCTGCTTTTGGCTCATCTACCAACTGAGTCACGCATCTGACCCCTTCTTTATCTGACTGTTCTTATTACCCATGATCATAGTGTACCCTTACTGGCCTGTCTTTATTTAGACTGCTTGGTTTCCCCACCTAAAACTACTTTAAGGATTTCCAATATCTTTGTTTCTGTTGGCTAAGATGATTATGAAATGTTATTTTTCCTTTTTGGGGGGGTCCGGTTGTGGGGCCTGAACTCGCGCTATCCCTCAGTTCTTCAGCTCAAGTCTAGCGCTCTACCACTTGAGTCACAGCGCCACTTCCTGGTTTTTTCTTTTTTGCTTATGTGGTGCTGAGGACTCGAACCCAGGGCCTCAGGCATGCAAGGCTAGTGCTCTACCACTGAGCCAACTTCTCAGCCCCGATGAAATGTTATTTTATATTTTGTTTTGTTTTGTTTTTAACTTTCTTAAAATCCATTCTAGGGCTTTGTGAAGGATGTCCATGAAGACTCTGTCACCATCTTCTTTGAAAACAAGTAAGACCTTGGGAATAGAGAATCCAGCATACTAGGTCCTAGAAGGAGAGTGAAGAGGGGGCGGCTGAGTCCTATGAGGCATGTAAAGGTGGGGGAAAGCTGTGGGTTTGGGTGGGTAACTTTCCTCTCCTGAAGGACCAGAAGAAGAAAGGATAAATACTTTGGTGAGGGTGGGGGTATTTGGTAGATTCTAGTAAGAGATGGAAGACACTAATATGGAGGAGGGGCTGGTACTTAGACTACTTACATGGGAGTGTGGAAGTTGCCCAGCTGAATTAAGTCCTTCCTGAACAAATGAGCAATTATACCAATCTAAGTAGCCTTCATATCACTGCTTCTCTTACAGCTGGCAGAGTGAGAGACAGATTCCTTTTGGGGATGTCCGGCTACCACCTCCTACTGACTATAATAAGGAGATCTCAGAGGGAGATGAAGTAGAGGTATGGGTTAGGAAGTTTGTTTGTTTGTGTGCTGGTCCTGGGGCTTGAACTCTGGGCCTAGGTCTATCCTTTAGCTTCTTTTGCTCAAGACTTGTACTCTACCACTCTGAGCGACAGCTCTACTTTTGGCTTTTCATTAATTAATTGAAGATAAGTGTCTCGTGGATTTTCCTGCCCTGGCTAGCTTTGAACCTTAGTCCTCAGATCTCAGCATCCTGACTAGGATTTCAGGCATGAGCCACTGTGCCCAGCTTTTTTTTTTAGTCATCGGGCCTGAAGTCTGGGCCTGGGTGCTGTCCCTCAGCTCTTGAGCTCAAGGCTGGCGCTCTACCACTTGAACCACAGTACCACTTCCAGCTTTTTTTTCTGCTTATGTGGTGCTGAGGAATCGAACCCAGGGCCTCATACATAGAAGGCAAGCATTCTACCACTGAGCCACCTTCCCAGCCCTGGGGTTTTTTGAAATAGGGTTTACTGTATAGCCCAGTTTGGCCTAGAACATGAGATCCTCCATCTGCCACCATAACACTGGGATTACAGGCATGTGCCATTACACTTGGCTGGAAGTCAACCATTCTAAACATCACTTTTTTCTTAGTATCTTACACTCTTCTCTGGTTGTTTTCTGTTTTTTCTTCTCCTGAGTTACCACATAGCCATGTAGCCTGTGGAGAAGTAAAGTGCACCAATTTATCACTTCTTTGTTGTTGTTAGTAACTGCTTCTTCTAGTTTGCCTTACTGTTGGTTTAAGAATAGATTTAAGAGCTGGGTGCCAGTGGCTAACGCCTGTAATCCTAGCTACTGAGGAGGCTGAGATCTGAGAATCACGGTTCAAAGCCAGCCCGGGCAGAAAAGTCCGAGAGACTCTTATCTCCAATAAATCACTAGAAAACTGGAAGTGGAGCTGTGGCTCAGTGGTAGAGTGCTGGCCTTGAGCTGAAGAGCGCAGGGCTAGTGCCCAAGCCCAGAGTTCAAGCCCCAGGACTGACCAAAAAAAAAAAAAAAGATTTAAGCTGGATGCTTAGATTGTAAACATACCTGTAATCTAGTTACTCAGGAGGCTGAGATGTGAGCATCATGGTTCAAAACCAGCCCAGGCAGGAAAGGCCATGATCTCTAACCACCAAAAAGCCTGAAATGGAGCTGTGGCGCAAGTGGTCAAACGTTGGCCTTGAGGGAATGGGAATGTAGCTTAGTGACAGAGTGCTTGCCTACCATGCAGGAAGCCCTGGGTTCAATTCCCCAGCACCACATAAACAGAAAAAGCTGGAAGTGGTGCTGTGGCTCAAGTGGTAGAGTCTAGCCTTGAGCTGAAGAGCTCAGGGACAGCCCCAGGCCCATAATTCAAGCGCCACCACAGACAAAAAAAAAAAAAAAAGATTGAACTGTATTTTACTTTTTATTTTGCTGGAACTATGGTTTGAGCTCTGGGCCTGGACACTGTCCCTGAGATTCTTTTGTTCAAGGCAAGTGCTCTACCACTTGAGTCACGGCACCACTTCGAGCTCTTTTGAGTAGTTTATTGGAGATAAGAGTTTCAGGGACTTTTCTGCCCTGGCTGACTTCAAACCATGATCCTCAGGTCTCAGCCTCCTGAGTAGCTAGGATTACAAGCATGAGCCATTGGCGCCCAGCCTAAGTGTATTTGAATTTTTTCTTTTTTCAATTTTTGCTGTTTTAGGGTCGTCTTTAATGTCTCTTATTCCTACCTTCTCTGTAGGTTTATTCTCGAGCCAATGAACAGGAACCTTGTGGCTGGTGGCTGGCCCGAGTGCGGATGATGAAGGGAGATGTGAGTGACTGAAGATCTTTGGAGGGAAAGATTGGAGATAGATGCTCAGGTCATCCACACTTCTTTTTTTTCTACCAGTTCTATGTCATTGAATATGCTGCCTGTGATGCCACCTACAATGAGATTGTCACACTGGAGAGACTTCGGCCAGTTAATCCCAATCCCCTTGCAACCAAAGGCAGTTTCTTCAAGGTTACCATGGCTGTGCCTGAAGATCTGAGAGAGGCGTGAGTGTTGGGGGCAGGTTGAGAATGGGAGACCCTGTTTTTTTTGGTCGGTCATGGGGCTTGAACTCTGGGCCTGGGTGCTGTCCGTGAGCTCTTCAGCTCAAGGCTAGCACTCTACCACTAGAGCCACAGTGCCACTTCTGGTTTTCTGAGTGGTTTATTGGAGGTAAGAGTCTCACAGCCTTTCCTGCCTGGGCTGGCTTTGAACCGAGATCCTCAGATCTTAGCCACCTATGTAGCTAGGATTACAGGCGTAAGCCACCAGCGCCCATTTTGGGAGACACTCTTAACAGAACTAATGTTTGTCCTTATTTCTCCCACTCCAACTTTTTAGTCTCCTCTGTTCCCTTGACCCTATGGGACCCTTGTTGCCTGATGTACCTTCAGGCCCTTTATTTCCCGCCTCTGTTATTTAAATGTCCCTCCTCTCGTATTTTCTTGGCTTCCACTCTTTCTACCTGAGCCTCTCACTGCATTCTGAGATCACTTTACTCTTCCCTGCAGCTGCACCAATGAAAATGTCCATAAAGAGTTCAAGAAAGCACTGGGAGCTAACTGCATCTTTCTTAACATCACAAATAGTGAGCTCTTTATTCTGGTGAGTTGATTTTGCCTTTTTTTTCTTTTTTCTTTGTATGACATTTGGTATAGTAATAGGATTTAAACTCAGGCTCAGACTTACTGGGCAGGAGCTCTATAACTTATCTAAACTCCAGCCCTCTCTCCTAATTTTCATATAATCATACAAGCCTTTTCAACGATTATTCCCTTTTTTTTTTTTTACTTTGCTCAAGGCTAGCACTCTACCACCAGTGCCACAGCTCCACTTCTGGCTTATTTAGAGATAAATCACACAGACTTTTTTTTTTACCTGGGCTGGCCTCCTCTTGAGTAACTAGGATTATAGGCCCCAGCCACCAGCACCTGGCCAATTATTCCTTTTCCCTTTTTTTAGTCCCTGTGTAGCAAGGGGAGGAACTAAATTGTGCTTACATGTATTTGTCAGAGAGGACTTTATTGTTCTTGACCCATATGGCCTGTGCAGCTCTAGCTTTTAGTCCTCATGATCTAAACCACGCCCCACCTCTCAGTTTTGAATTCCTGATGATATAACCCAGGGTCATGCACATTAAAAATCTTCCTCATTGGGCTGGGAAGGTGGCTCAGTGGTAGAACCCTTGCCTTGCATGCATGAGGCCCTGGGTTCGCTTCCTCAGCACCACATAAACAAAAAGAAAAAAGCCAGAAGTGGCACTGTGGCTCAAGTGGTAGAGCACTAGTCTTGAGGTGAAGAGCTGAGGGACAGTGCCCAGGCCCATAGTTCAGGCCCCACAACCGGACCCCCCCAAAAAAAAATCTTCCTCATCACCTGAATTTTCTATCCCTCTTTATTTTGAATTCCTCAGGATATAATCCAGGATCTTTTTTGCACATGGTAGTCAAGCACTGTACCAGTGAGTTATATACCTGACAATCATGTTATAATCTGGATTCAGGGCCCTTTCTTAGATATTGGACCTTCAAAAATAAACTGATGCTGGCTGCAGGTGGCTCATGCCTATAATTCTAGCTACCAGGGAGCCTGAGATTTGAGAATTGCAGTTGGAATCCTGAGGGTCTCTTCAATTAGTCAGGGAAAACTTGGAAGTAGAGGCATGGCTCAAACGGTTGAGTGCGAACCATTAGTGAAAAAGCTGAATGAGAGCATAACACCCAGAGTTCAAGCCCTAGTGTTGGCACCAAAAAGGGAAGGAAGTAAGCAAGCAAGCATGCATATGGGCATTGGTAGCCCATGCCAGTTATCTTAGCTACTCAGGAGGCTGAGATCTGATAATCAGGGTTCAAAGCCAGGCCAGGCAGGGAAATCCACATTGCTATCGGTCTACCACTTTGAGCCATAGCTCCACTTCTGGTTTTTGGGTAGTTAATTGGAGGTAAGAATCCCATGGACTATTCTGCTTGGGCTGGCTTCAAACAGTGATCTGCAGGTCTCAGCCTCCTGAGTAGGTGTGAGCCACCAGCACTTTGCCCTTATTTAATTGAATTTATTCATTTTTTTTTATTTGCTAGTCCTGGGACTTGAACTCAGGGCCTGAGTAGTGTCCCTAAGCTTCTTTTGTTCAGGGTTAGTGCTTTACCACTTGAGCCACAGCATTACTTCCTTTTTTGAGTCGTTTATAGGAGATAAGAGTCTCAGGGACTTTACTGCCCAGGCTGGCTTTGAAATTCAGTCCTCAGTTCTCAGCCTTCTGAATAGCTAGCATTACAGGTGTGAACCATCTGGGCCTGGGCGCTGTCCCTCAGCTCTTCAGCTCAAGGCTAGCACTCTACCACTTGAACCACAGCACCAATTCCAGGTTTCTGGAGGTTATTGGAGATGAGTCTCAAGGACTTTCCTGCCTTCGCTGGCTTTGAACTGAGATCCTCAGATCTCAGCCTCCCAAGTAG